GTAGAAAGATAGAAGAACACACTAGACAACATAAAAATCGAAAGCTATAGTTACCGTGCCGGGAATTGAACCCGTCACCTCCAGACGGCGTCTGCGCCTCGCCATGAATGCAAGTGCACTAAGATACATGGTCAACTCGGCACCCCCAAATAAAAGGTGTCTCATTGGCCATGTCTATCGTACAGCTTGAAATCCACGACTATGGAATACGGACAGAATTCATTTCAACCCATTGAAATGGCACCATAGGTTACAGAAATTTATATTAACGAGGCAAATGTCAAATAACAATCACAGCAACAATTTACGTACACAGTAGACCTTATTGCCTTGTCTAGAATACACAAACATTTAAGAAAGGTATTTGATTGGTAGGTTCCGGTGTGTATACGTCATTCCTATAAATAAACAGAGAGGGGAACCATTTGAAGCCGTTAAATATTATGAATTAATCAAGTAACAGAAAGTATTGTGAACGGCACTCATAGAAAGAAGTAGAAAGATAGAAGAACACACTAGACAACATAAAAATCGAAAGCTATAGTTACCGTGCTGGGAATTGAACCCGTCACCTGTTTACCATTTTAAGTATTAGGTTCTCCTTGCAACTACGGCCACATATTGGGGGAGTATGCCGGAGTTCAGTCCCCTGGCCGCATTGCAATTACGGAATGGATAAGGAACGAATCACAACCCTAACCCTATGATGACAGCAGTACACTGCACCCAACCCTAATCGTACCCTACCCCTAACCCTATGATGACAGCATTGCACTGCACGCTTTCTATCGCTCACGCCGTCTATCACCAACACACACTAATTACGTCACTTGTTTCGTTCCCTCGTGTCCACTCCGTAATTGCAACGCAGCCAGGGGACTGGACTCCGGCGTACTCCCCCAATATGTGGCCGTCGTTGCAAGGAGAGCCAAGTATTTTCTCCGCACATAGTTCCCCCCCCCCCCCCCCCCCCCCCCCCCCCCCACCCCCCCCCCCCCCCCCCCCCCCCCCCCCCCCCCCCCCCCCCCCCCCCCCCACAAATCTCCAATATTTATGGATACTGTAATAGCTTGCACACTTGTTCCCCACCCCCGCCCTCCCACTACCCCCCCCCCCCCTCCCGGTCAGATCACAGATTCCAATCGCCACGAATAGGATTGTCTTTCTTCTTAACTAACCCGCGGTCTGAGGTCAGGCCGGTCTAACACGAGAACCAGGAAATGCTTTATAAAGTCAATAGCACATACAAACATATCAACAGATTCGTTAATCTATCCAATAGCACATACAAACATATCAACAGATTCGTTAATCTACCCGATAGCACATACAAACATATCAACAGATTCGTTAATATATCCAATACCACATGCAAACATATGAACAGATTCATTAATCTATCCAATAGCACATACAAACATATCAACAGATTCCTTAATCTTTCCAATAGCACATACAAACATATCAACAGATTCATCAATCCACAACTGCACACACAAACTTACATATCGCACAATCACCCACCCACCCCATATACACAAACTTAAAACCAGCAGTCCTCCCACCCCCTCCCCTCTTTGTGCATGTAATACTCAACAACTGCGTCCATTCACAGACCTGCTTCCCCAACAAGAAACAATCAAATCTGATTGTCCTGACAAGTCATCTTGATAGGAACACACCTGTGAAACCGTCAACTGATATTGTTGTCTGTGTTTGATGTCTGCCGCTGAATGTTCATTCACAATCACGTTTAAATTCTTGTGACGTTTAAATGCAAGGACAAACCTGGCTCCTGCAGTCACAAGGAACAACTGAAGGAACAATTAAAGGAACAATTGGAACTAACTGAGAAATCAAGAGATGTCAACTGTGCATTTCGGCCCTACAACAGAATCAATATATCACATACACACAGAAGACTAACACACAGAAATGAGGACAATGGACTGACAACACTGGAGATATTATCAATAAATTAATTCAATAAAGGGTGGGTGGGTGTAGGGGGTGGGTGGGGGGGGGGCGGACCCCGCTGTAACAGGAAACAACTGCGGAAGAAACTCGTCTAGGACAACGATTATGACAGAAGCCAAAGCTGCTAGAGTGGATTTCCTTCATGATATGCATAGGCTTAAACAGGACTAGAAAAGAAGTTATTTAGTTGCGTATCCTTTACAGGACGTTGCAGAACCAACCCCAACAGCCCGTGGCTGTTGCGTGGGTTTTCTAGGCAAATTTACGTCCAGTAGTTTGCCATTGCTGTCTGGACGGTCGGCTTTCTTGATACCACTGTCGAAACGAACGCAAGGCCTGCAGCTGGGATCGACCCCGGCATCCCGGCATTACGAAGCGTTCGCATCGACTTAGCCACAGAGCCGACTAGACAAGAAGAGACTACTTCAGAAAGCATGTCGTAAAGGTGCTATTTGTGGGTGTTTCCCTTACAAGTCAGGTCGCACTTGCATGAGAGGCGAGGAACCAACAGCCTGCACACAGATAAGCTAATTTTGTAAAGCGGACGTGCATGAAAGCTCAGATACTGAAACAAGAACAAAGTCTACAAGTGCATTAACAACCAGAAATTTTTGCCAGTTTTTACTGCCGAAACACATGAAGACCGACCTAGAAATGGGTAAAATTATTTATAATCCATTTTGTATGACAAATACAATGTGACTTCTGCTTGTGAGCTGAGATGGCGCAGCCAATAGAGTGCTTGCACATGGATCCACTGGTCATATGTTTAAATCTTTCCGGAGGCGAAGTTTAAAAAGCACGTGGTTTCTCAAGTCGACCCAGATCTCTTGAGCACTCAGCATGGTTACTGCAAGTACAACTTCCGTCTACGTAGAGACGCGTTAGCCTGAGAAGCGATAAACCAACTGTATGTACACAAATAACCTAGATCTGTAAAACGGATGTGCACGCAAACTCAGGTTCTAGAACAAAACCACGAAGTCCACAACTGTACGAAGAGAAGAAGATAAGTCTGGTGGTAAAGCAGGTGACATGATGATGATGACGTCCACCCAGTGCCAATTAGCCAACACAAATATCAGACCAGCACCAAACCCACAAGATCAGTGGGCAAAAACACCTCCCTCTACCTGGTTCTATTTACTGATAGGTTGAACGGGCACTAATGTTATGTTAAGCGCATTACCACTCAGAGGCACCGTATTCTAAAGCACGGACAAGATATTTAACTCCTTCGGTTCGTAGCAGTTGTTATTTCAATGTCTTCTGTCTCAGAAAGTTTAACGTAAAAAGTAACAAGAACTGATGTCTGGAGGAGTTTAACGTAAAAGCAACAAGTACTGACGTCTGAAGGAGTTGAACATAAAAGCAACAAGTACTGATGTCTCAAGGAGCTGAACATAAAAGCAACAAGTACTGATGTCTCAAGGAGCTGAACATAAAAGCAACAAGTACTGACGTCTGAAGAAGCTGAACATAAAAGCAACAAGTACTGATGTCTCAAGGAGTTGAACGTAAAAGCAACAAGTACTGATGTCTAAAGGAGTTGAACGTAAAAGCAACAAGTACTGATGTCTCAAGGAGTTGAACATAAAAAGCAACAATTACTGATGTCTCAAGGAGCTGAACATAAAAGCAACAAGTACTGATGTCTGAAGGAGCTGAACGTAAAAGCAACAAGTACTGATGTCTCAAGGAGCTGAACATAAAAGCAACAAGTACTGATGTCTCAAGGAGCTGAACATAAAAGCAACAAGTACTGATGTCTCAAGGAGCTGAACATAAAAGCAACAAGTACTGATGTCTCAAGGAGCTGAACATAAAAGCAACAAGTACTGATGTCTCAAGGAGCTGAACATAAAAGCAACAGGTACTGATGTCTGAAGGAGTTGAACGTAAAAGCAACAAGTACTGATTGCAATTACCGACTCTAAACTCCGACGGAAAGTTCTGGTTGTTCGTCCACTTCTGGACTTTGATTGTGTTGCAGAAACTGAATTGTGCTTGCCTTTACATTCTACAGAGTTGGTTTATTTATGTGCAGACTGTTCGTTTGAACTTCAAGCAGACTGTTGTTTTGCCCCTCAAGCAGATGCACTCCGACTTCAAAGGACCAACCCCCCTTTCAATCAAAAATAAGTCGCCTTGTACGACATGCTTGTAAAGGAGGCAGTGGGTTTATGTCCCCGACCACGAATATAACCAGAGACTGGTGGCGGCTTCGGCTAGCTAGCAGCAGATTGAATGTGGTCGAGGTTTTCATTTTTTGTACATGGACTTTATTCCCCCCCCCCCCCCCCCCACAGGTCCTTTATTCAAGTACAAGAAAGATCTACGATTCCGGCAGTAGATTAGTAATTAAAATTATACTAATAATAATAATAATAAATAAAGTAGTCAGACCACAGACGATACAGTAGATAACTTCTACATGTGTCTACTGTTTTGATTGACATGAGTAATTTGTATCTACATATTCACTCACAGATTAAACATTTGTCTAAAACTGCAGACATATAATATACACCGGATTAATGATTACACAATGGTTTCGTGTACTTAACCACCATTATCTCTTAATCTTTCTATTCGTCTTCTTTGTTCTTCACCGGCTGTAAATATCGTTGGAAAGTTCCGGTTGTTCGTCCACTTCTGGACTTTATTCTTATTCCATAACAAGAGTTTGATGAGCACACCCATTTTACCTGTCTGGCTTATACGCATGCAGGCTGTTGGTATCTCGCCTCTCAGGCATGGGCACTCTGACTTAGAAGGAAATAGCCCTGATTAGTGAACTTTTAGGGCATGCTTGTAAGGGGGCGATGGGTCGATTTCTCCCCCCCCCCCCCCCCGGGCTCAAACTCTGATCTATCAATCGACAAGCAAGACTTCATCACAACTGGTTTAGACTCTCATTTTTCAATCACTCGATCACTACGCATTCAACCTCTAATCTATAACTGATTTTTCAATCAATCAGTCACGACGCAATAAACCTCTAATCTATAACTCAATCATTATCAGGACTCAATCAAACTCTGATTATCCAATGAAGTCACGTGACAACATGTCTTTTGCACCAACAACCGAACATCCGCTATCTTGCCGTTCTGCGCATGCGCTACCTTAGCCTGCCTCACTTCCCCCTTGTCTTTCACCAAGGAAGCAGCCTTGCGTCCAGCGCCGCCATTGTTATAAAGTATAACATTGTTGGTATAATTCCTGTGGCCTGTCTGCCCTGTCCAGTCGGTCATACCTGCTGTCTTTTTTACATTCGAATTATCACAAGTTTGAAATACCCTGCGAGGCTTCTCTGGTATGAACTGCACACTAGCACTATAGTCTGCAGTAGCTACTGCATTCGCTAAAGTTCTAGATCTTCGATTTTTAACAAGGGTTTCAAATCTGCGTGGATGTGGAACCCAGAACTGACAACGCAGGATGTCCCAAAAGAAGCGGCAGTATGACTGCTTCATGCGTCCATTGTTTTGTGCGTACATGTAAGGATTTAGGGCACTGTTGAGAAAGACCAAGGCTATACCACAAAGCTTAACCTGGTACAGGGTTATAGACTCGCCGGTGATAACTTCAATTAAATGTGATATCACCAGAGGTGTCCAACACAGAGTAATAATTAGAATAACAACAAAACACATTGTGGCCGCTTTGTTCTCTTTCTCGAGCGCCGCCATACAACTACAACAAGAACACTGTTTTAAAGGTTCATTTTTGGCTAGAAAAGTCCGGCCAAATTTGCTTGTTTTAGCTGTTTCTGCCATGTTTGACGATGAGTACGTATAGTTAGAAGTCTCTGGTTTGATTTGTTTATACATGGCTGATCGTAGCAACGGCTGAAGTGCCTTGACCCTCAGGTATGTTTGAACTCTAACCGCTCGAGCTATGATGCAGTAGCAGACGAGGATAATCAGGAAGCTAATGGCGAAGACTGGACTGATGAAAAACAGAACGACATTGTTGGTGGTGATATGGCCGCTGTTTATCACAGACTGACATGTGGTGTGCGACTCCGTCCAGGACATGCTCACGTGTAAAGTTGCCCCTACAGCCGTGCTCAAACTGACCATGTATATGATGCTCAATCTATAAACGGCGATAGCCACCAGAGTCAGTAGCGATACAACCCCACATGCTGTAGACATGAAGAGAAGGCCGCCGCAGAACTCCCGTGTAGACTGGCGATGAGAAAACAGCAGGTAGAGAAACGTTGGTGCGAGGCAGGAGCAGACGATGAAATCTGTTGCAGCCAGGTTGTAGACAAGCACGTCCACGTTTGACCTGCGCTTGCTGCCCTGGAAGGCTGTCAGTAGCACCAGTCCATTCCCAAACGTCCCCATGAGCACCACGAAAATCACCAGAACCGTGCAGACAGCCAGAGTCGCCGTGTGCACTGACCCGTGGAAGGCCGGGTCTCCATCAGGCTGCACAAGCCTCTGTAGAACTGCCATGCTTTTGTTGACAGTATGAACAAGATAGATGCGGCTATCCGCCCCTGAAGCTGTCATGTCGGAAGAAATAAATAGATTTCTACCATCTATTATCTACGATACTTTCATGTGTACGATGTCTAGAGGTTCCTGTCAAACGTTGATAGAAGATGAAATATTATATCTACAGCCACATGTTTCTTCACAACTTTTGCTGAGTCTTCTAGAACCAGATGTTTCACCTGAACTTGGTACAGTCCGACTGTATGTAGTACAGGCCTGATATGATTTACTTACAATAAACCGATCAGTGTACTGAAATCTTGAGTCGTGAATCTCTACATGGAGGCTGGCCTCTCCTGCCAGTGAACTGTCTATTCCACTGTCACTTCTGAGACAACCCAGAGACAATCAGTTCCACCTCACTGTTAAAACTGCACTATGTCAGTCTTCAGTTAAACCACCTGAAATATTAGCTAATGTGTATATCGCAAAACTCGTAGAGTATTTTATCAAGCATGTCTTGAAATAAAATAAAACGGCTGGTTACGATTTAGTCGATAAACTCTTTGATGTTTTGAATACGTTGCTGATAACCTACAAAAATCCATGACACTGTGTCTCTACGAACTGGCCAATTCATTTAATTCAGCACATGATTCACCGGAACAGTTGTGCATTTCCCCAGCAAACAGATCAGATTACAATAACAGCTTCAAACGGCGAGTCTGCTCAGTTTAGACCTGCGTGCATGCTTGACAATTTACAGTTGTTTCAATCTTTGGTTAGAGCACGTGGGCCGCTGCTGTTTCCTTGGCGGGATCTGTGGCACTTCCGAGACAGCAGCAATGTTTTCAGGAGTTGGCCTCAGCGATTCCGTTCAAACCGTCCAACGGAAGACGAGATTAATGAAATCTTGCCCAGAAACACTGTATTATACAAGCTTCCTTTGGGGAAGTCTCCTTGAAGATCAAAGCGGCCTTAGATATCAGAAGCAGGGTAACATAGTTTCCATCAGAAAACATCCCCGGGGACAAAGGCCCAGTGTTGCATGACATATGGCCGCTCTTCCGGTCTAGGATTCCAACAGGAGATAAGTAGCTCTGTGAATGTCAGCGGTTAGAATGGAGGCCAGGAGGCGGTTCAGTCAAACACCAGCTTGTGGCAGGAATACAAAATGGCGATTTGTGTATTGTTGTTTTGGGATTGTGCCTGTGATCTCTGATGTAACCAGGAGAATGAGATATTGACTTTGTGAAGCTGTAAAACATGCTTGTACACAAGAACGGCGTGTGCGCTTCTACAGCAACCGCAACCACATTTTCAGCACAAACATTCCTGTTACAGCTGAAGATGAAAGTACAATGATAAAGTGCATCCACTGAGAGGTGCAGAAACGAATCTCTTCTATGTCTATCCAGCAATACTTGTGTATTTGTTGTTCATGTAATTTCCCTGGCCTCTATTGTCATGCAGCGATGCTTATTCTGATGTCAGGTTTTGTCAAGTCCCACTAAAGAGTTCCGAAGCTTGGCAGCAAACTCTTAATCATTCATAATTATATTGCCCTAATTTGTCAAAGACATATTGATACGTGATATAAAGTCATTTCTATTATAAGTTTTTTTTTTTTCTGATCGGCTGAAGATCAGCTGATGAAAACAACAATAGGGATTAGGAAATCCTTTCATTTAAAACTCCACCCATGAAAAAGCATACCACACTTAGAGAAATCCCTTGTTACAAATCCGTTGATAATCCCAGAGTTATAATCGTTAAATGGAAGGGTCTAATAATGACCTGATCAAACTAGATCAAACCGCAAACTGTACTAAATAGAATGTCACCTCGCAGACGTCTGGATAAGAACCAAGAACAATGCCGGTTGTAAAGTTCTGAAATGAGGGTAGGGACCTCGGAGTTCTAAGCGTGTGAATCCCCGTTCCAAATGAAGTGATTCGCTGCAGTGTATCGATCGTGCACATTTGCCCCATACAAGTGCAGCTGTTAGTATCCAGGGATTACAGAACACGAATTTGTATTATGAAATCCCACTCTTCTCATGAATATTCATGAAGCAAAAGCCGGGGCATGTGAAAAGACCCGAGTATATTAATCTCGGACTGAGAAAGAGCGGGCCTTTGAATCGCTGGCACGGAGTGGGAACAAACGTCACAGATTAATTGCCCACAACTGTCACATCAACTGAGTACAAATGTCACATGAAGGTTGTAAATCTTGTACCACTGGCGGGTCAGAGGTCGCAGTTTAGTTCACTCTATAGGTTGTTCTTGTAGGAGTTCAGTCCCTTCTGTCTGTGCTGTCTGTTAGAAAGACTTTCATGAATATCCTTTATGTTGTTTTGCAAGGCAATCGTATGAAGGTGATCGCATAGAGATTAATACAAAACTGGTCTCGTTGAAGAAACCAGGGTCTTATCTTTCTGGATATGTCAAACAGATGAATGTCGTTGGTGAAATTATAAGCTTCTAAAACATGAAATAACAAACAGACGCTCCGACTGGTAATACTTTTAACGCCTTTATTTTCAAATTGCCACAAATAGTAATTCCACTGAAAACTGAGTGGGATTTGTTGTCGCTTAGAAAAATGTCACTTGCAATCATATATATCAGAGTCACAAATGTACGTCCATCTGGTCACTTTGTGAACGTTATCCCTTTGACTGACCAGCAGTTTAGACCACGGCAAAGTTTGAAGTGCATACGTAACAATGTCTTTCTGACCACTGGTCATTTGTATAGCAGATGAGTCAGGATATATCTCCAGCTCTTGCGGTCACTGCACTAGACGCTCAGGTAGTGAGTGGTCACTGTACCGGTTACTCTGTGAAGAATATAACACACTGGACACAGTTCTGTCGGTGAGTTGTGTGAACTTTTTATGGAGATTATCAATTAGTTGAAACTTGACACGAAAGAGCAAACGAGACTTCTGACGATAAAACTTGAAAATATAACAATGAGTGGTGAAAAGCTGACGTGAAAATCTACTCACTGTCCTTGTTTGAGAATACAATAATAATTTCGTTTACGTTTATGTCCAGATGTCACCACTCTGCTTATTTTACTGGAATCATTCCTGGACTGGTCAAGCGAACTTAATTAACACTTGTGCATATTCAAAATCCCTAACATTGTAATCCAGGTTCTATTTAAAAGAAAGTAACAAATGATGTAGTTTGTATTAGAAAGTATCTCCTTCTTAGCACTTTGTAATGTTCGTAGAAGACAAAAGTATTTCAGCAAAAAGCCAATCTTGAAGCTGTAAAAGGTTTACTATCGACACACTGAACAATTGTCCTCGCAAACAATGTTGCTCCGTTTACTGACAACACTGCCTCATTCGCGAATGGATCACACAAACAGATCACACTGACACACCGCCAGCAGAAGTTTCCACAGATTGGCGGGCCAACCGTGCGGGTTCTCTCAGCCTAGACAGGCCGCCTTCGCTCGCACTAGCTTGTATCAGAGCTGCCGAAAGTTTTTGACAGCGGTACCAATATGTTTGAAAATGTACAAAAACACACCAACAGGTAATGTTTACATTTTGAATTTATGCACGTAAAATATCTTTAAACACACACACACACACACAAACACACACACACACAAACACACACACACACACACACGTCCGTCCGTCCGTCCGTGCGTGCGTGCGTGCGTGTGTGCGTGTGTGTGTGTGTGTGTGTCTGTCTGCCTGCCTGCCTGCTGCCTGCCTGCATGCATGCATATGCATGCATGCATGCATGCAGGCAGGCAGGCAGGCAGGCAGCAGGCAGGCAGGCAGGCAGACAGACAGACAGACGCACGCAGGCAGACAGACAGACAGACAGACAGACAGACAGACAGACAGACAGACAGACAGACAGACAGACATAAGCCAGTTTAACTCATATTGATCACGGCTGAAATTATTTGTCTATTACATCAATGATATATTTTTGTCCGATTGGTTTGTTGCAAAACTGTTATGGCGGCTTTCAGCTGGTCCTGCAGCAACAACTGTGATCCTAGCTTTTATTTCTTTGTTGATGTCGTCAAAGAAGAGCGTAAGTGTGTGTTAATATTCATGACCAATGGCTTAACTGACTTTGATCTTCCTTCAGCAACACTCACGGGATTCAGTGCGCGAAACCAAAATTTAAAATATTGAGGTAGAATGTCTAAAACGTGCCAAAAACTTTAGGGCCTGGTACCAACAGTACAATATTGCACGGCTAATGTCAAAAGGTACTAAAATGTGTCCAAAAGTACCAACTTCTGCATCCCTGCAGCCCTGTCCCGCTATGATGTGCAACCAGCGGGGGCCGACCTGCTATTTGACAGCTCGCAGCCCCTGTTGTCGCTATGCGTGTTGATCTTCCCCCTCAACGTGGCGTCTTCGCCGGCAGATAATTCAGCGGTTCACAGCTCATGAATATGTATGTGTCGCTGTCAGCTACTGGGTCATTCATTAGCCGGACTTAAACTTCTACCATCTGACACTGCTGTGGCGCTATCTGTTGAACTAATCTAATAACGTTAGACTTCATACACACAGGCACACACACCCACCTACTGACGCACGCGCACGTGCGCATACATGCGGACACACACACCACGCACGCACGTACGCACACAAACACACATGCCGCACACCAGGGGTGGAGGAAGCTGAGGTTATAGAATTCGTTTTAATCTTGTCTTTATATCCCTTCTTCGCCAGGAACTGAACCACGACCTTCTGATCCGTAAGCCAGCCTCTAGCCGCTACCCCACGGCTATTCACCGTAAGCCAGCCTCTAGCCGCTACACAACGGCGACTCACCGTAAGCCAGCCCCTAGCCGCTACACAACAGCGACTCACCGTAAGCCAGCCTATAGCCGCTACACAACGGCGACTCACCGTAAGCCAGCCCTTATCCAATACACAACGGCGACTAACCGTAAGCCAGCCCCTAGCCGCTACACAACAGCGACTCACCGTAAGCCAGCCTATAGCCGCTACACAACGGCGACTCACCGTAAGCCAGCCCCTATCCAATACACAACGGCGACTCACCGTAAGAC